CATGGATGTGGATGGATAGATATAGCGCTAATGGACGAGATCCCCACGAGCCTGGGAAACGGGCGCAGTGTCAGCGACATATGCACAGCACGCAGTAAGAACACACATAATAACAGAAGACAACTGACACCATATATCATATATAAAAAAGCAATATAAAATGCAATATAAAAAATTTATAAAATGTAAAAAATAAGCAGTATAATTGTAGTGCCAAATACAAATGAAATTATAACGTTTATTCATCATGGAATATATATCATATTAATTGTTCAAATTTAAAAAATTTAATGTCGCCAGTGGCCCCCCTATACATTTTTAATGTTTTTCTTTTGGCCTGATGGGGCCACTAAAAATCCTGGGGTGGAGTGTGATGGATGTTCAAAAGTAGCTGGCTTGCATACATTTGTTATTTTCTTTCACATTAACTATTATTATGAAAAATATACATTTTTGATTTAAATGAATAGTATCTAATGTAAAATACAGATAGAAGCATATTATGCATAAGTGACTCACAATGGGGGACAAGTGGGGGGCCAGCAACCGGCATGAGCTCTGTACTATGTCATACATGCGCTTATACACACAAAATGAATCATAGAAAGAGTCAGTGTTGACAACCTGGCAACTTTCTCGCTAGATTTAACAACTTCTCTTAGCAACTTTATTTCTAAAAAGTACAAATTTAGTGACTTATTCAGACCATCAGGGTAAAGGTGAGAAATATATTCAATTTAAATGTGGACACAGGAAAACCGTGAATTCCCTGACTACACAGGGAAATCAGAACTAACACAGGGTTGATTTTAGGCTTTTGATGGGAAGTGTCCACATACTTTTGACCATATAGTGTATGGTACATAATCATAACATCTACCTGGAGCGCTGTACTCACCCCATTATGGCAGGTACAGTCCCATCAGGCTTTGTGTCATCCAATGTCAGGCCAATGGGAGCGCCCTCCTCCTCAATCACCATACTGCCACAGTAACCTGCAGACATGCACCCACCAGTGTAAAAAGAGCGTAAAGATAAAATAGGACATGTACTGCAGCATTCCCTCTCTCCTGGGTACCTTTTTTCCTCCAAAAGTTCTCTTTGTAATAGACCATGCACTTGATGACGGAGCCCATGGGGACACGGCTGATAAGCTGGTTCCTCAGAGGTGGAAGCTCAGGGTTGAAGTGCATCTTTAGGATCAGACCAGGAGGGGTGGCCACAATCACATACTTGGCCTAAGACAAAGATACACATAAAAAAGCAAATAGGTCAGGACAGTGTGAGCTGCGTCTCATTACACATGGCAGCAGGTCGCAAGGAAACCAGTAGATGGCAGCAAAGAACAATATTGGAAGTTGCACTTTATCATTCAGACTGTCGGTGGAAGAGTTAAACATGTATTTATTCTTATGTCTAAGGGCACGTTATATCCAGACTATATCATGCAGTGTTTTTTTCTGTTTTTACATTATACCAATAAGACTGCAGTGCTTCAGTAAAAGTACCAATACAACAATGTAAAAAATACTATTTTTTTCTGATATATTAAACAATCTTTGGGCTTCAAGTTGTCTAAATTAAGCCAACTGAGAAGTTCAGTGGGAACATTTCACAACTGGTAAGGGGCCCAAACGAGTAAGAGCTCATAAGGCAAAAAAGTTGGTATTATATGTTATTTCCAGTGTTGGACAGTAGCACATTGAAAATAACTAGTTACAATCTTTCTTTTGTTGTCACCTCTCTACTGATTAAAATCCAACCACCAAATCACATCCTTGGATTCATTTTTGTAATCATGTATGTCACAAAACAAGAAACTAGCTTGGAAGATGGAAATATTCCCATTACTTCTAACAAACAAAACTGGATTTAATTGGTGAACAGCAGGCTATAAGGTGAAAGCTAATGAAGCCTATGGCTGGATATGTGGTGGTATTATTTGCAAAAGAAGACTATGTCTCTAAATAACAGAAGTTGTTTTAAAAGGTTTGTGTCACATTTTTTTCATGATTTTCAGGGCCACTGACTGTTCAGTCGGTTGCAATCTGCAACTTCACCACTAGATGCTACTAAATGCTGCACACTGGCCCTTTAAGTACAGTACTTGTATGGCTGTAGCAGACTCATAATTTCTTACTGTGTAGATTTGTTTGTCCAGCGTCTCCACTACCACCATGTCTCCGGACTGGTCGATCCTGTAGACCGGAGACTGCAGCTTCACTTGGTCTCCCAGCTCCTTGGCCATGCACTCACTGATCTGACTGGAGCCGCCTACAAACTTTCTCTCCTGCAGAGGTGGACGGAGAGGGGTCAGTCACCACAAATACTGCAGCAAGACTACAGGGGTCTAGTCTAGCTTTATGCTCTACTTGCAGCACAGTCTCAATTTATACTGGGTATATTGCTTTCACTGGGTCTGATCCTGCTCACAGTACGACTCTGCCAGGCTAATAAAACTTACATTTAAGAGGCAAGCTGATAAAATCTGTCGATTTATCCTGGAGTTACATACCAGTTATTCTTCACTACAAATTTCAACATCTCAAACTGTTTGCAAAGCTCATGCCAACCACTGAATGATAGAGAGAAGCAAGGGGGTGGAGAGAGATTAAGTGCTGCCAAAGCTCTGATACACAAAATGAAATAGACCTTTTCCATACGGTTAGTGTCAGTGCCTCGGCGTTCTCCCCGATCAGAAACACATTGTGTGCATTCCACTGTGGCATTTGGATGAATTTGCCTGCCAGTCCCCGGAAAATTATAAACTAAACCTAAATTGTCCGTGGCAGTGAAGAGGGGCGAGTCTGTGCTTGTCTTTTTTGATTAAAGACAAGTTTATTTTTTCAGTCTCTGTGGAAAGTTTCACTGAAAGTGAAGGATACCATCTGTGCCTCCATGTGCAATACTTTACACCTTATATAACTTTCTCCTTTAAACTAAACATCAGCTCAAATTACTGTTTATGTGTGTATATATTGTACCCATGCATGCACCCATAAACAAGTGTTTCAAATGGGAAGGTTGAGCAAATGGGACAACAGCGCTGGCTACAACATCATCTGTTTACCTAAACACAATCCCAATCCTCGGTGGCTATGGCAACAGGCCCACTTGGCTTTAGGAAGTATGGCGGCAAAATGAGCTTCAAGAAAACAGCTTTTGTCAGGCTCATAATTGCGCTACGCTGATCAGCTGCAAGCTAAGGTAAAGGTATTAGGTCTGATTTAGGAGGCTATGGGACCTCACTCTGATGCTCAACCTCCTGTTCTGCATAAGTGAATGCATCTCTGCGGGCTACTAAGTCCCACACCACTTAACTGGAAAGCTGTAACATGATACTGGGGCATACTGTTTGTATTCCAAGTTTAGTGGGTATCAATTCAGAGTCATTCGGTCTCTTCAAAAGCCGCATCTCACATTCATCTCCGATAAAAATGTGCTGGCAAAAACTAGATGTATGGCTAGACTTTGCCCCTCTAAACAAACAAGAAAACCCACATGCACAGGTATAAATATTGATACTGCACACACACACACACATTATTGCAGACCTACCTGTCCTCCGTTACTGGTGGAGAAGATCCTCATGGTTCCCCCGCACTGTTTCACATACCAGAGGAACCACAGGGCCGACACTTCATGGGGTTCAGAGGTCACGTTCACGTTGACAAACAGCGTGGCGAAACGACGAACAGTACTTGAAATAAGGGAGAGGGATCAAACAAACTGTTACTCACTGAACTGAACTCAATACTTGAAGCTGCAGTAGATCCTTTTTATAAGAAAAAATAATATTTGCTGAAACTTTCACTTAATCCTGACAGTAGCTCTGACTTGTTTTTGTTCCGACATAGTGGATTCTTGCAAATGCCATTAGGAACACTAGGAGGACCAGAGAACAGATTGTGTTTTTGTTTTTACAGATTAACTCTGTCTATTGACTACTATCAGGATACTATAAAGTTTCAGCAAATATGACAAGAAGTTTTTTTCATAAAAGTCAATTAGCTCAATTACTGGATATGTGTGGATTCACAACTTAAATGAAAATTCACACTGAGTGATGTCACTTCTATTTTTTAACCATCTCCAAAATGGGTCTTTTCAACAGATAAATAAACATAGACAACAAGATTTGGTTAGTTAGGTTTAGACATGCGGAGTGATATTGGTTAGGTTAAGAATGTCAGCGTAAGCTAATCAGAAGCAGAGCAGGATGGGTCATGACCACCTTGGGAAAGAAAATAAGGCATACAGGACAGGAGGAAGTTGACCAATGTTTTGACTGAGGCTTGCTCCACTGATATTAAAGCACAGAGCAGGGAGGGTCCATTCTGGCTGGAGAACTTATTAGGGTGAAAATGTGTAAAAATAAAAACTCTTAAAAGAAATACATAATCAGAGTTCAGAGACATAACAAAGGCATGAACAAAGTTTGGTAGGAAAAGTAATAGTAGTAAGTTTCTATGTTCTCTGCTACCTGGTCCAGCAGATTTTTTCAAAGAGCTGCTGCATGGTCATCTTGTCCCACTCCTCAGCATGGGGAGCACTCCAGGGAGCTTCTTTGGGAATCTGAAATATGGGAGGGGGAAGATGAGCAAGAAACAAACATTTGGCAAAAATGAGACACAAAGTGTGGAGAGTAAAAAGCAGTCAACAAGGGTGATTCTTGTTGTACCTCCTTGCCCATCTCGTCCATCGTCCTCCACAGGTTGTTGAAGTCCAACAAGACGATAGGGTTCCACATGGGAGGGAAGGAGCCTTTAAACGGGTAAGACTTTCCCTGTTGGATACACATCATTATCATCATTAACTTCTTATGACCATCAGTCATCAGCTATATATTGAAACAATATTTTTTATAAGCAGCAGTATAAGTTCACTTTCTCTATTTGTATGGGGATTAGTTATGTCATATTTAACAGTAAACTTTGTCTGCTTAGTAACACAGTGTTTGAGATAGACACCCGTTGATATCACAGTTTGGCTGCCACAGAGGACTGTCAATATACTTATCTGATACTGGCCTTTTAAGTTAGATATTATCCACATAGCAAAATTGGTCTGGCCCAGTGATGGCCCACACAGCCCACTTACACTCAGCCCAGATAAAGCTATGAATTACGGATCACATTGGCTCAGATCTGGTAGCCATATATGGCCCATGACATAGCCATACATCAGCTGGCCCTATTTGGCCCTATGTTGGACCAGACAAGTTTCA